ATGAAATCCTGCAATAGAAAGTTGTATCCTATATAATAAAAGGCTAATATGCAAATAGACCGAACAGCTGAACAACTGGTCACTATGACGTGTCAGAGGGCGTGTGCGGAACATGGTGGGCATTGGCTGCAGGGGGATGGTGGAGCAGGTGAGCGGAGGCGCCAGACCAAGGCGGGGCACTGGTTGCTGTCATTGGGGTGAGCTGTTAGTGGTTACTGAAAATTCTTTGCTCCCGTGCGCCGCAGTCCCACCCGCCACTCACACCCACTGCCAGAGCTACTGCTCACACCCACTGCCAGCCCTGGCCCCGCTCACACCTGCAGCCAGCACCACTCGCACCCGCTGCCGGTGCCCAGCGCCAGTCTCGATCACTTGGCGCCATCAGCAGGTGCAGCTGGCGGCTGCTGGCCCTGATTGCCTCTGAGGGCTTCTTCACCTCCGCCTGCTCCTGAGGAGCAATCGGGGCAGCAGCCACCACTTGCACCTGCTGACAGTGCCAGCCCCACTCACACCCACTGCTGGTGCACCGAGCCTCTAGTTTAAATATAAAGGTGAGAGGAATATATTCTCAAAAGTGAAAGAACTCAAGGGCATAGAATCTATCAGCTTTTATAGAAAAATCTATCTGATAACCAATAAAGAGGTGAATCAAAAGAATTCAGGAATGGAGATGCTCTTATGGAAAGCATCAGTGATGAGTTGAATCCATTTAGAATGAATATTGGGCTAATTAGGATTACTGAATAGGATGTAAATAATATAAACCTTTATGACAAAAACACTGTAACATTTACTGAGCACTTATCTGCCAGGCTCTTTGTAAGTACACATTCAAACTTCTTGCAACATATGAAGTAAGTACTATTATCCTTGTTTTACAGGTGAGAAAAACTAAGACTTGTAGAGGTTAAATAACATGTCTAAGGTCACATAGCTGACAACTAATGGAGTTGGGACTGGAGCCTAGGTTTTCTGGCTACAGAGCTCAGGCTTTGTTAATCACTATGCTGTTCTCTTTCCCTAAATTGAAATAACCAACAAGAAGTAGAAAGTGAGGGAGGAGAGATGGGAGGAATATCCTCATGTTTTCTAGTTGTGAGTCAATAATCTCTAAAATTTAGTTAAACAATAAAAACAATGAGTAACCTTTTAATATGTTTAATAATTTCTTTATAACTCTAGGGCAGAGGTGGGGAATGGTTTTTCTGCCAAGGGCCATTTGGATATTTATAACACCACTTGCTTAATATAAATCACTTAATATAAATCTATGTTGCCATGAAAAAAGCTCCTAGATTTATTGAATTTTGAGTCCTGCCTGCAGTTGTCTTGGCAGGGCCAGACCAAATGATTTCATGGGCTTTATACACCCACCCTTGCTCTAGGAGTCCATTTAGGAAAATTTTCTGGTGAAGAAATATTCATTTGAAATTCAGTTTCTTCAGTTTCACTTCGGTTTTCTTCTGATAAATTCAAGTGAAATCAAAGTTAATTTTTTATTTGCATATGTAGTCCAGTTTTTCAAAGCACTTCTATCAGCTATGTATTCAGCCATCAAGCTGAACACTTGCTACAAAGATGTCTAGAATGGTAATCTCCTAATGATAATGATGGTTATTTCTAGGTGGTAGATTTGGAAAGATTTCTTTAAAAAAATAATGTTAAGAGATAGTTAGAAATATTTATGTGTATATATTTTAAATGTTTGTTGTTTGTTTTTAAATATGTTTTTATTGATTTCAGAGAGGAAAGGGGGAGAGAGAGAGAGAGAGATAAAGAGAGAAAGAGAGGAACATCAATGATGAGAATCATTGACCGGCTGCCTCCTGCCACGCCCCCCCACTGGGGATCTAGCCCGAAACCTAGGCATGTGCCTTTGACCGGAATCGAACCCGGGACCCCTCAGTCCGCATGCTGATGCTCTATCCACTGAGCCAAACCAACCAGGGCTATTTATATATTTTTTAAATGGGTTATGGTGTTACTGGACAGGGACTTGCCTGAGATGGGTCTGCCTCAAGTCAGCCTCTAGTGCAGTGATGGCGAACCTTTTGAGCTCGGTGTGTCAGCATTTTGAAAAACCCTAACTTAACTCTGGTGCTGTGTCACATATAGAAATTTTTTGATATTTGCAACCATAGTAAAACAAAGACTTATATTTTTGATATTTATTTTATATATTTAAATGCCATTTAACAAAGAAAAATCAACCAAAAAAATGAGTTCACGTGTCACCTCTGACACGCGTGTCATAGGCTCGCCCCACTGCTCTAGTGTGTGGGTTCTTGACTTCGTGTAGGAAAGATTTCACAATACAAGTCCAGGTAATTTTGAGAATATGTTTGCTAAAGCTGGGGACAGTGAAACAAGGAAGGGCTTAGCATAGAAGAAGCAACAGCCCTAGCCAGTTTGCCTCCGTGGATAGAGCTTTGGCCTGTGGACCAGAGGGTCCTGGGTTCAATTCTGGTCAAGGGCACGTATCTTGGCTGCAGGTTCCTTCCTGGCCCAGGCCCTGGTTGGGGCTCTTATATATTTTTTAAATGGGTTATGGTGTTACTGGACAGGGACTTGCCTGAGATGGGTCTGCCTCAAGTCAGCCTCTAGTGCAGTGATGGCGAACCTTTTGAGCTCGGTGTGTCAGCATTTTGAAAAACCCTAACTTAACTCTGGTGCTGTGTCACATATAGACATTTTTTGATATTTGCAACCATAGTAAAACAAAGACTTCTATTTTTGATATTTATTTTATATATTTAAATGCCATTTAACAAAGAAAAATCAACCAAAAAAATGAGTTCGCGTGTCATCTCTGACACACATGTCATAGGTTCGCCACCACTGCTCTAGTGTGTGGGTTCTTGACTTCGTGTAGGAAAGATTTCACAATACAAGTCCAGGTAATTTTGAGAATATGTTTGCTAAAGCTGGGGACAGTGAAACAAGGAAGGGCTTAGCATAGAAGAAGCAACAGCCCTAGCCAGTTTGCCTCCGTGGATAGAGCTTTGGCCTGTGGACCAGAGGGTCCTGGGTTCAATTCTGGTCAAGGGCACGTATCTTGGCTGCAGGTTCCTTCCTGGCCCAGGCCCTGGTTGGGGCTCATGCAGGAGGCAGCTAGTTGATGTGTTGTGTCTCACATCAATGTTTCTCTCTGTCTTTCCCTCTCTTCCACTCTCCCGAAAAATCAATGGAAAAATATCCTCTGGTGAGGATTAAAAAAAAAAAAGAAGAAGAAGCAACAGAAGAGCCTAGGTGGTGCTCTGCTTTGGCATTCTAGAAATGCTATAGGAAAGAAGTGAGCCAAGGTGGGGCTGCTGTCAGCTCACAGGGAAGTCAGAGAAAAGGGGGCCTTGGAGATAGGATCAGGAGGTAAGCCCAGGACGAGCTGCCACTGCCCACTGCTCTCCTCGTTGAAACTTTTGCAGGGACCCTTAGAGTTTAGGAGGCAGTAAAAAGTTCATGCCTGAGAAGGGGCATGGTGTGCTCTATAGCGAGCCTGCACTGAGTCTTTGTCTTGAGGGTTTTTTTTTTATCTTCTGTTGGCGAGAATCTTAGGGGATGGTTTCAGCAGAATATTCATCAGCTTTCCAGGTACATTTTTAATATGCAGATACATCAAAATGAGTGTATAGGGGAGTTTAGGATTGTTCTTTGTTCTGCTTTACAGTTTTACTTTTATCTTGGGTCTGTCTGGCTTTGGTGGGGTTTTTCTTATTTGTTTCCCAGACTTCATCTGTCCTTGGGGTTAGCTGGCACAAATGACATTAATTGGGTCTCTGTTTTCTATTTTCCCTGCCCAGGGTGATTTAAGACAGCAGTCGCCAACCCGTGGTCCGTGGACCACTGGTGGTTCCTGAGGTCCGAAAAGTTGGCAACCACTGGTTTAAGGAAACCTTTGGAGCAGCGGTCGCCAACCTGTGGTCCGTGAGGTCCGAAAAGTTGGCGACTGCTGATTTAAGATATGTATACTCTGGTTAGGGAGGTGAGTTATAAACCATTTGCTCTCAAGTGTCCTTGGTTAGGGGAGATAAGGCCTTGCAGTTCACCACCTGGCTGTAAGTTGTTCAAATTTGACTTTGTTTCCCCATTCCACTTGCCCAGGAATCTTCCTAGCTTCTTACTATCCTGCCTCAGTGCTACATGGAATTTCAAATTTCCATTAATAAAAAAAATAAAAACAACTAAAGAAAAAAGCCTTGTAATTACCTCTGCTTAAAATGACCCATTAATAGTTTCCCATTTATTATTGCTCCTAGGATTCTAAGCCCAGGATCCCTAATACGACCCACCGTACCCGTAGGTTCTGCCCCTTGCCTGTCTCTTTAGCCTCCTTCCCTGGGACTTCTGGGTTCTAGCCACATGGGCTCCTTTTCTCTTTGTATCCTGTTCCTTTTGCCTGGAGCAAGTCATATTTTCTTTCCCTTTCCCCCCCCATTATTTCACAGCTCAAATATCACTTCTTTGGGGAAGCTTTCCTTGATCTCAACGCCTAGTCCAGGTCAGAACCCTGATATATTCTCATAGCACCCTGTACTTTTTCTCTATACACTTGTCACACTTATGTTCATGCATTTATTTTTGTAGTTGTTTAATGTTTGTCTCATTAGACCATAAGATCCCCAGACAGGGACAGAATCTGTTTGTTCCCCAGAACCTGGCATAGTCGTTGGCAAATAGCATACATTCAGTATATATTTAAATTAACAAACAGTTAATAAAGTGCTTATAAGATGCCATGTTCTCACTGTAACCCTATGACATAGCTATTGCTATCATTCCCACTTTACCTTTACCTTTTTGGTCTGCCTTTTAAGGTCTCATTTAACTAAGGCTCCACTGCTGAAAAAGCTGGTAGGTCTGTGCCCTGGACCAGTCCACCTTCCTTTCGTGCTGCTTTAATAGGAATGTGATTTTTATTCAGGAATTGTTCCCTAACTGGCCTCAGACATTCTGGCTCTGCCCTGGCTTGGACTTACTTTTTTCTTCTCTTTACTAACTCCTAGGCGGACTGACCCAGGACCTGAAAGCTGCCTTCAGCTGCTTTCTGATGGCGTGTGAGAAGCCTGGAAAGAAGTCTGTGGAGGCATGTCACAATGTTGGTCTCCTGGCACATGATGGACAGGTCCATGATGACGGCCAGCCCGATCTGGGGAAGGCCAGAGACTATTACACAAGGGCCTGTGATGGCAGCTATGCCCCTAGCTGCTTCAACCTCAGTGCCATGTTCCTGCAGGGTGCTCCTGGCTTTCCCAAGGACATGGGCCTAGCCTACAAATACACCATGAAAGCCTGTGACCTGGGCCATGTCTGGGCCTGTGCCAATGCCAGCCGCATGTACAAGCTGGGGGATGGTGTCGATAAGGATGAAGCCAAGGCTGAAGCGCTAAAAAATCGGGCCATGAAACTGCATAAAGAACAGCAGAAAAATGTCCAGCCTTTAACGTTCGGGTAGTGTGGCCCACCCTCCTGTGCAACAGATGCTGGCACGGCCTATTCCTGATGCAGCCCTTGGAGAGCAACCTGCTGGAGCAGGAAGACTTGGGACTTGGTATTAGTAGCCCTGGTTACATATACCCATTGCCCCAGAGTGTCACCTACTGGGATGTAGCCTGAAGTATTTATTTCTTTAACTGGTGTGTTCTGTAAAGAGACCCACATTTAATGGGGTTTTAGATCTCAAACTCTTATAGCTCTGAAAAACAGCAAACTAGAGAGCAATGGAGATTTTGGGGGGTGGGGGGGTGGGAAGGAGAGACAAAGAGCAGGAGATGGGAAAAATTAGCAGCCACAGGGCCTGAAGGAATCCGACATCATCGTCGTCATTATTATTATTTTAGTTGGGAAGGCTTGAAAATCAGGAAGTATCTTGGTTTACGTAATAGAGGGCTTGAGCTAAGAACAGTCACGACTCCACCCTCTGGCTTATGTAATTGGTGTGGGCTTTAGTTCTGCCTTTAGAGTCACGTTTTTGCAGTACATTCATGGAGATCTGGAAGATTAAAGGTCATTACTCGTATGTTTCAGGGTTGCTAAAGAGGATGAAACAAGCCCTCCTGCAGTGGAGACAGTCACAGTTAGTGGACTAGCATCCCCAGTCCACTTACGCGGTACTGCTCATCACACTGAGGGAGCAGATTATTCCCCAGGCAACTTCAGGTAGGGATTTGTAAGCAAGGGTTTTGTAACATTCTGTCCCTCAGAACAGAGCCTTTTTAACTGTTCCTGTGAATAAACTATTTTGATTAATATTTTTGTTATTGGTGTTCTCTCCACATCCTGGGTAGAGATTATGTTCTTCAGTGGTTGTGCCTTTTCTTTTAAGAACATTTGCTTTTTCTATTATCTTCCTAATTTGTCACTAGGGGGCGAGCTTGTCATTTTCCTGCTGATAACAGGACCGTTATTTCTGTCACCACCTACAGTTTTTGTGCTTCCAGTTTTGCAGCTGTCTTAGAAGGAAAGTTTGCTGTGTGGATGGGTTGTAAGCGTAGCCCACCCGTTTCTCCAGTTGACAGAGGAGAGGGACTTTCCCAAGGGCAGACAAGATCTAAAAAGTGAGCTTATTTTCAAAATATAAAGTAGCTTTTGTTGTGTTTCAAAAATATTTGTAGGCCAACAAGCATATGAAAAGATGTTCCACATGGATAGTCACCAGGGAAGTGCAAATCAAAACCACAATGAGATCATTATCTTACCCCCTTCGGGATGGCTAGTATGATTTAGAAAAAAAAAAAGACAACAGGTGTTCCATCTTGAAGGGTTTTTGCTGGTTTCTGTTCTGAAAGAGCTACATTTAATACCAGTTTTTGCAGGTGACACTTATGATCTCCACTACTCAAATTGATAATCACTGGGCCTGGTTGCAAAGAATAATGCAGAAAGGATATTCAAGTAGAATCTGTAGATGTTTTGTGATTATTTCTGGTATTACGTTTCTCATTGTTCAGAACCTGATGGCCACTTATGACAGATACGGGGAGTAGCAAGAAATCTCCACGATCCAACTAGAATTATTGAGGTATTTCATTAACAAGAATCAAATTGATGCCTCACAAAAGGAGAAACCTCAGGATGATCTTAAATTAAACCTGGACACCTTTGGGCCTTTTTAAAGCCTCTTGAGCATTTTTTTTTTAAATGCTCTTGACCAGAATCGAACCCGGGACCCTTCAGTCCGCAGGCCAACGCCCTATCCACTGATCCAAACTGGTCAGGGCGTCTTGAGCATTTTTAAACAAATAAATTTGGGCTTCCAAAAGACAACATGTTTGCAAGGATGTGTAGAGATTGGAAGCCTGATAGATTGCTGGTAGGAATGTAAAACGGTGCAACCACTATTGAAAACAATATGGTGGTTCCTCAGAAAACTAAACATAGACTTACCATATGGTCCAGCAATTCCCATTCTAGGTACATACTCAAAAAATTGACAGCAGGGTCTCCAAGATATTATATACCAATGCTCATAGAGACAACCACAATAGCCAAAACATACAATGGAATGTTATTCAACCTTAAAAGGGAGGAAATTCTGATACATGGATGAACCTTGAAGACATGCTAAGTGAAATAAGCTAATCACAAAAAGATAAATACTGTATGCTCCACTTAGATGAGGTATCTAAACTCATAGAGACAATACAATGGTGGTTGCCATGGTGTGAGGGAGGGAGAAATGGGAAGTTGTTTCATGGGTATAGCTTTTTAATTTTGGAAGATGAGAAACTTCTGAAGATTATTTGCACAAAAATGAATATTTTTTAAAATCTTTATTGTTAAAAGAATATATTCCCTTCTTTTCCCCCCTTGATCTCTTCTAGCAAAAATGAATATTCTTAACACTATTGAACTATACATTTAAAAGTGGTTAAGATCGTAAATTTTATGTGTACTTTACCACAATTTTTTAAAACTGTAAACATGTAATTTTTTAAAAATGCAAGATCTGAAATTTTTGTCTATAAAAGTACTATGTTCTCTTGAAATGCAGTTTGGAACATAGCAAAAGAAACAGTTACCCCTAACTTACCAGCATTCTTTGGTCCAATAATGTTTAACCATCTTTTGAGAATCACATGCCCTAGCTGGGTTTGCTCAGTGGTTGGAGCATCAGCCTGCAGACTGAAGGATCCCTGGTTTGATTCCCGTCAGGAGCACATGCCCAGGTTTCGGGCTCGATCCCCAGCAGGAGGCAGCTGATCATTGATTCTCATCATTGATGTTTCTATCTTTCTCTCCCTCTCCCTTCCTCTCCGAAATCAATAAAAATATATATTTTTTAAAAAAGAATCACATGTCCACATTTGGATATTTATTAAAAAAGAAAAAGAATCACATGCACAGCCGGCTGTAGTTTAGTGGTTGAGCGTTGACCTATGAACCAAGAGGTCATGGTTCGATTCCCAGTGATGGCACATGCCTGAGTTGCAGGCATGATCCCCAGTGTGGGGCGTGCAGGAGGCAGCCAATCAACGATTCTCATCACTGATGTTTTTATCTCTCCCTCTCCCTTTCTCTCTCAAATCAATAAAAAAAATATAAATTTTTTAAAAAAGATTCACATATTTCCTAAGATTGGCTTTATCAGACTTATTTTTTCTCTCTCTAGTTAGACATGTAGCAGTAGGTTGAAAACAACAGGAACAAATAACTAATGAAACAATAGATTTCTACCCCTAATAATTAAGTCATTTGGCATTTGACAGATGGAAGCACAACATTTAGATAGTCTATCAAATAGGACATGTACAAGGTCAGGGAGTGATGATTAACTTATAAAGAGTGAAAAGCCAACAGAAATCTACACCTGTTGAACAAAAAATACAGTGACTCTACCACTAGCATTTCCTATCAAGGGCAGAGTTAACTTTGCAAATCTGCCCAAAATAGAGCATCTTATTTGCTGAATGTTTGCATTTACCAAATTTAACAGCACACTTGAAAATATTTTTTAATGTATATTTTTAAATATTGATTTTTAGAGTGGAAGAGAAAAGAGAGAGAGGGAGGGAGAAACATTGATGTGTGACTGAAACATGGATGGGCTGTCTCCTGCACACCCCCTAGGGGGGGATCTAACTCACAACCTGGGCATGTGCCCTGACCAGGAATGGAACTGGCAACTTTTCAATACACAGGGTGAGGCTCAACCAACTGAGCTACACCAGCCAGGGCAGCACACTTGAAATTACTATTGGACTTTCATCTATGGAGTAGAGAGATAGGAGTATAAATTCAAAGATTTCAATAGGAATTTTCCTTTTAACTGCCAGGTAAATTTTTATTGAATTAAAGTATTTTGTTGCAACCACCATTACATGCTGGATACATATATCTTTAGAACCACACTGTGTTCCCGTCCTTCCTAAGTGCTTTAAAAGTTATTTATGTTGGCCCTGGCTGGTATCTTCGAGTGGTTAGATCAGTGGTTCTCAACCTTCCTAATGCCGCGACCCTTAATACAGTTCCTCATGTCGTGGTGACCCCCAACCATAAAATTATTTTCGTTGCTACTTCATAACTGTAATTTTGCTACTGTTATGAATCGTAATGTAAATATCTGATATGCAGGATGTATTTTCATTGTTACAAATTGAACATAATTAAAGCACAGTGATTAATCACAAAACAATATGTAATTATATATGTGTTTTCTAATGGTCTTAGGCGACCCCTGTGAAAGGGTCGTTCAACCCCCAAAGGGGTCGTGCCCCACAGGTTGAGAACCGCTGGGTTAGAGCATCAGTCCATGCAATGAGGGGTCGTGGTTTTGATTCCTGGTCAAGGGCATGTACCTAGGTTGCAGGTTCGATCCCCGGCCCCAGTTGGGGCACATATGGAAGGCAGCCTCTCTCTCTCTCTCTCTCTCTTTCTCTTTTTCTTTCTTCCTCTCTCCCTTTCACTCTCTCAAAAAAACAATGGGAAAAAATGTCCTAGGGTTAGCATTAACAAAACAAAGTTATTTATGTTGGACACGTCAAATCATTTGGCTGAGTGATCCATCCTAGAGAAGTCTCTCTTACATTATTGTAACTTTTCACATAATAAATATTCTTACTCTTTGTTTCATTTTAGCCTAGGAAACAAAGTTCATTAGCATGAAGCCGAGTAGTACAGGCTTAGAGTGTGGATTGCATGTGTAGACTAAAAACAAGATGGAAGGGGAAAGGCTTAGAGTGTGGATTGCATGTGTAGACTAAAAACAAGATGGAAGGGGAAAGCCTCATGAAGCTGTTTGTTGTTCAGATGACTTTTAGATCATTTAAAGTATCTGTTAAAAGCTAATTACTTCCTGGTGGTTTTATTTGATGTATCGCGAAAAATGAAATAGTGAATTCAGTTTGATCTTTTAAAAATCACAGATTTTCGCCAGCACTGGTTTGGCTCAGTGGATAGAGCGTCGGCCTGCGGACTGAAGGGTCCCGGGTTCGATTCCGGTCAAGGGCATGTACCTTAGTTGTGGGCACATCCCCAGTGGGACATGTGCAGGAGGCAGCTGATCGATGTTTCTCTCTCATCAATGTTTCTAACTCTATCCCTCTCCCTCCCTGTAAAAAATCAATAAAATATATTTTTAAAAAATCACAGATTTTGAATTAAGTGGTGGGTTTTGTAATTTTGAAGAGTTAGGTTAACTTGATTTTTGGTAGCGGATGTGCAAGGCTATTTTGTAATAAGAGAAAGTTTATTTAGGAAGCCACAGAGGTAGAAGAAGTGAGTGGTAAAAGAAATGGGCTCAGGAAACAAGTTACAGGGGCAAAGAAGGGCCCTTGGAACTCAGGAGAAAAAGACAGCCTAAGAAAACACATCTTGGGAAGAAGAGGGGGAGGGAAGGAAAAAGGAGAGCGCTGGGCTGTTTTTATGGACCAGATTCTGCCTGGAACCTGTGGTGCCTCCCTGACTTGAATCACATACTGAGATAAGGTTGGGAACAATGGAATAAGTATTAACAGTGTCAAAATGTTACATTTCACAAGAGTTATTAAAATGCAAAGAAGAATAATGTACTGTCCCAAAGGTCTAAGGCCATTTCATATCCAGGCTGCTGTGGGAGGAATGAATTGATAATGGCGAGCGTGGTTGAGTTTCTCACTTTTGTTCAACCTTTGAAGCAAGATTTGAAAATGGGCCCTAGCCGGTTTGGCTCAGTGAATAGAGTGTCAGCCTGTGGACTGAAGGGTACCAGGTTTGATTCTGGCCAAGGGCACATGCCTGGGTTGTGGGCTAGATCCCCAGTAGGGGGTGTCCA